CCACACCAGCCCTCCCAGTTCTGCATATGGGGCACCAGGCTGCTGCCTTCACTTAACTCGCCTCATTACTCACCGCCACCCTCAAACCCAGAATCAATCAGGACCCTAACAGTGTTGTGGTCATCACCAGCCAGGTGCTGAACTCTGATCCAAGTCATTTCTTCCAAGTGCCAAATCCCCAAAGCCCCTTTCCTTCCTGCAACCACAACCCCTCACCACTCTCGAAACCAGTGTCATTACTTGGCAGGACACCTACCTGTCTTCTCCCCTAGATTATGCCAAAAGAGCCAAGATTTGAAAACATTTGAGCAATGCATGAAAGAAGGAAAATTTCTAAACCAGGAAGCAGCAGCTGTTGGAATAATTCATGTGGATATTTCAGAGAAGCGTCTTAATCACTTGAGTCTTTCTGGAAGTGTCCAAAATCTCAAGCTGAAAAATCCTTAGAATCTAGAAAATGTGGGTTACCAACCCGCTCCCAAGAAACTACAATCACAATGTCTCCTCCTGGTCCCTCTAATTGTCATAAAGTTCTTTCTCCAACTATGGTTAAGGGCTGTGTCCCTCTAATTTCCACTCATCCATCACTACGTCAGTCCTTCGAGCAGAGCAGAACAAACTTTTCCTGCATATAAGAAACAGTCCCTTAGATATTTTAGTCTCTCACCTATCATTTATTGCACTCACACCTTGACCACAAAGCACTACTATTTTGGGGAGGAGGAGATGCAAGGACAGAGGAAGCATTGCACCTGGCCCCAGGGGCCACAGCTATCCACCAGATCACACACATGCCCCTCACAGACGTGCCTGGAGGGTCCTGACAGTCACACACAGTCTGCAGGCCTCACCATCAAGTCCTCCCATCCTAGAGAAGCCGAGAGTGGCCATGCAGAACCACAGGCTGGGCTGTCTCACCAACACTTACCTTCTTCCAGGAAGTATAAGTAGACACAACCTAAAACCACCCTCTATAGAATATAGCTCACCTCACCTTACCTTTGCTTAAACTCAGCATCCTTAAAATCAAAGACCCACAATCTGGGGAGCCTGTGTCACCTTCCAGTCCTCACTCAGCTGCCAACCCTCAGTTGTGTTCCTGCTCACCCTTTCTCTCTTTCAGGGCACCCTACCCTGTCTCTCCCTGTGGCCATAGATCCCCAAGGACAGGAAGAGGCCATCGCATGCACCACTGTACCCCAGGAGCAAAGCACAGCCCATGCAGGAAAGCTATCCAAGTTGTTGAATGGACAGGTGGCCTGTCCTCATCCCCCGGTAACCAGTTCAGTCCCCACACAATTTTCCTACACACTGCCTCCAGCACCTGTCCCTGCTTTTTATTCTCCACCAGGTAAATTCAAGACTGTATTAGCTCATGCCTGCTTTTTATCAATGGCCTTTTTTCCTGACTGGCTTCCTTGCCCAATTCAAGTCGACATTCTTCTCCCCAGAAACCTCTGAGGGCTCTCCACGCTTTTAGGATGAACATAAAACAGACTTCCATTTAAGGGCTCAACAATAATCAGAACAACCTGCATTTTTCAACCTTCTTTCCCATTACAAACTTTCCATAAACCCTGGGGTCTGAGAAGGTGATCTGCCAACCTCACCCCTTCCTGATGCACCAGTGCAGGGGACACTCCTTGTGAACAGCCTAGTTGTGTCAAGCACCTTCTCCACAACAGCTGTAAACCTCCAGACCAAAAAAGTCGTCTTTCTTCTCAGAAGGGTGGGAGTGGGACAAGATGATGGATGGGACTGCGGACAGACACAAATCAGACACTCACCATTCTCATGTCATGGCATGTAACAAAAATGGTATTTGTACAACACAAAGCTACTCACAGCTTCAGGCACTGCCCAGGAGCTGGGGCTACCTGGCTACAAGGACATCTTTGCACTTCTCCCATCAGCTAAGAAACTCTTGCTTAAAGAATCCCATAATCAGAAATACATCTCCTGCTCTGGTCATTTCACCATGTAGTGATGAGAAGCCCGCACGGCATTTCACTCCATGGGGTAATGACCAGAGTAACTTAAGCCCTTAAGTGTCAATGGGTTAATTTCTCTAAATAACTTTAAAAAAAAAAAAAAAAGAGGGCCTGGCCAGAGTAGCTCAGTTGGCTGGGCATTGTCTTGAGGATTGAAAAGTTGTGGGTTTGATTCCTGGTCAGGACACCTGCCTAGATTGCCAATTCGGTCTCCTGGTTGAGGCATGTAGGAAAGGCAACCAATCGATGCTTTTCTCTCACATGGATGTCTCTCTCCCTCTCTTTCTCCCTCCCTTCCCACAACCCTCTCTCCCTTCCCCTCTAATCAGCAATGAAAAGATGTCCTCAGGTAAGGATTAAACAAAACAAAACAAAAAACAGTGGCTGACAGACTCAGAAAGCTGGTTAAACAAATCAGTTACCCTGTTTTCTAAGCAATTTGCTTCCTCTCCCCTTCTGCAATAAACCAAGGTAACAAAGTGAACAAGCTCCCACCATCTCAAACTTCACAGGTGAGTGCATGTCTCTGAGCTGCTCACCCAATGCTGAGCTCCTATCCCAAGTGATGACCTGTCCACTTCTGTTGCTTTTTGTGGCAGGGTCACCTGATATTATCTCTGGAAAGTAAGAGGAACCCCTTCCATACTCCCAAAGCGGGTGAGCAGGTGCCTGACAGTTCCAGCAACAGGAAAGGACTCTGTTCTATCCTGAGCTAAGATCCTAACTCACCAACAGGCCTCCAGGAAACCCTTGCCATTCCCTGCCGCCAATCTTCTCTCCTCCAAACAAAACGTGTTCAACCCCTCTAACCAGTCCTGTGATATGGTTTAAAGACCACTTCAGCAATCAGACAGACTCTCCCAGGTATTAAGAATATACAGTAAATAACCTCCCTGAATTCTTTTCAGCAGGTTGAATTGTTCTGGAATCAACCAGTATCCTTCATGAAGTATCAAAGCCCCTCTCTCTTGCCATGGACTAGCACAGCTGACCATCAGAGATTGGTCTAGGACCTGACCTTAAGCCAGATCCACCTTATTTACATGTGTTGCTTTTAACAATTTTGAAATGGTCACCCGCATGTCATCCGAAGGATATATACTCAAGTAAGTACCATTACTTTTTTAGTAGACAGGAAAAGCAGTTTTATGCTCTTAAAATTGAAAGCCATCACTCACTCAATTCCAGAACAGGAAACACAACTACATCTTTAAAAAAAAAAAAAAGAAAAGAAAAGAAAAAAAAAGGAAAAAAAAAAAAAAAGCAGCACTGAAATTCCAAAAGCAGCACAGATCTTCCTCCCTGTGTCCTGCCCTATCCTCTCCCCACGATGACCTTGGCTCACAAAGGAAACCTGCCAATGGACCTACACAAATAAAGGGAGGAGAAACCTAAAACAAAACTATCCAAGCCAAGAAGAAATAAAGATGATAGATCTTTAGGATTAGCTCTAAGGAGGGAACAGAGAGCTATCTACGTTCCCCTCCATTCTACAAGTCAGCAGGAGAAAGGCCACACCTCCTCTTGGGCCTCAGTTTCCAGTGTGTAAGTAATATCAAGAGCTTCCCCACTCATCTTTAATGAAGTCTGTGTGCCACACAATGGGCACTCAGCAAAACTGCACACAGAAGCAGGCTAGTCCCAGGTGAGTCCTAAGTTGTCTGCTGCCCAAGGACCAAAAATAGTTAATTTTCTAATGCCTGCCTAACACATATAAATAAGCAATATGGCAGCAATTACATCTCAATCCAGATTCAGTACATTAATATCTTTACCCAAGAAAACTTCAAAAGCAGATCAGGCAACTCCTACCACTGACACCTGACACTCCCTGCCTCCTCCCCCAGACGTCAGCATTAAGAACTGTCACTTGGACCCTGACTAGTGTTGGCTGGGCTGGTTGGGCGTTGAACCTCAGAGCACAGGCACAGACGGGGTTGTGGGTGGGTATGTTTCTCTCTCACATTGATGTTCTCTCCCTCTCTTTCTCCCTCCCTTCCCCTCTCTCTAAAAATAAATAAATAAAATCTTGAAGAAGAAAAAAAAAACTGTTGCTTGGGTTAGAAAAAGATAACAGCTAATCAGACAAAATGTTGAGGAAAACACTAATCAAACCCTTGGTACCTCCCAGGGTTCCAGTGGGTGTAGGAGAATCCCACCTAGGGAGGGATCTGACTATAGGATCCTCTGAAAGAACAACTGCCATTAAGGGAGTGGGCATTAACCATTTAAATGCAAAGAACAAAACATGAGGCCACAGAAAGTGAAGTTCGGGTGTTCTGTCAATGGTATACAAGTTGTGAGAACATCACAGGTCTGGGATAACTCAACCAATGCCTTCAAATCAAGAATTCAATTTGCCATGCTCCTACCTTCCCCAAACCACTGAGCAATTGGGGAAAATGTGTTTCCTCTGTGGATGTATATGAAGGTTGTGGCAGCAAAGTTCTCAAAACTGACTGACAGAGTTAGTCTGCCCAAAACACACAAGAAAACCAATCTGTTGTCACTGGCACAAAAATTCACCAACTGGAAACTCAAGTTATCTGGCTTGAAACCTGCTCACCTCCAAGGTCATGGTGAGCAGCTGCTTCCAAGGTAAGAATGTGTTGAGTTTAACAGCCACTAACTCAAGGGCTAATTGCACAGAACAACTGGAACTGAGGGAAATGTTAGGCTGGATTATATGCACATTTAAGACCACAGGTTTTTCACATTACTTCTGGATAATCTGACAGACCTTTATAGGTAAGATTTCCTTACAATGAGCTCCAATAACTCCAGATAGGTTAGCTTGTGGTAGGATTTTGTTATGAAGAAAATCTAGCTCCTCAAATCTGTTTCACTGTGTGTAACTGAGCTGTGATACCACAGGGGGATGGATCAGCAAGGTAGCTGTTACCTGGGAGAAAGGTTTTGTCTCAGAGGTAAATGGAGGAGCAGGGGCTGCGATACCTCTGACTACTTATCCTCACAGCCATCCTATGAGGTGGAAGATACAGTCCCTACCTGAAGCCAGGTGGCGAGGTGACCTGCCCCAGGCTGAAGAGTGGTAAACTGTAGTCAACGACAAATCTGTTCATTCTCCAATCCACCTAGAGAGCTGGAAGCCTGGAAGCAGGACGGGATTCAGGTCAGGCTCTTCCATTTGCCACTCCATGCACATCAGGCAACCCACTTACCATCCCTGACCAGAATCTACTCAGGGATTAAAGCCAGAGATGTATGGGCTCCTCTTGGTTCTCTAAGCTAGGACCCCATGACAGATATGCCTGGCAAACACCTTCCCATCTCACAAATGGAGGGGCTACCCCCGAAAGCCAGAAGTGGGGTTCAGCAAGTCCAGGGCCTGGAAAGGGGCTGCCTCCTTTCCCCTGACGAGGCCCCATAAACCCAGCCTTTCTCTATCTCTAGGGAGGTGCTAAGGCTACCAGGAAAAACACGCAGACTCTAAAATCAGAAAGGCTGGAGAGAAATCCCAACTGTAAAATAATTAACAGCAAGGTTACCCTGATAATGTCACCCTCTTTAGGGGACTTCACTTCTTCCATCTAGTCAGAGAGGACCGGCTATGGCTCCAAGGGGCACACAGCAGAGAGTGACAGTCTGCACTACCAGCATGAAGGTGCTCCACAAGAGAAGCAGAGCAGTCATTAATGCTTTTGTTCTCCGCCTCATCTGTTCTAGTCATAATGGTAAAACTCACTGAACTCCAATTTATTGAGCAGGTACACGCACTAGGTGCTACGCTAAGCCACCTGCATTCATTAGCTCCCATACTCCCAACTTAGCCATTCAAGGTAGATGTTACTAACCTTTCTAGAAATGGGAAACAGAAGGCAAGGTTCAGCAAGGTCGCATCACTAGAAGTGGCTGAGTAAAGCTCACACCCAGCCTCTCTGAGGCAAAGCCATGGCTGGCCCAGAACACTGCTGCGGGTACCTGGTGCCTGGGAACAGGCCCATAGCCTCACCCCACAAACAGCAGGCAGCACTGCACACAAGCAGCCTCCCTGATACCAGGAGCTGTTTGTCCACCATAAGCAGTATTTTTATTTATTTACTTACCTAACTTATTTTCAGCAGTAATTTTTTAAAGCATACTCAAAGGCATCACTCCATTTAGGCTAAATTAAGTTTGAAGGTTCAAACAGTAAGATCTGACCAGCAAGGCAGAACAGGTGGTATGGTGTCTGAAGGCAGAGCTGCAGACCAGCTGAAGGATTCCTCAACCTCAAGCAAGTGGAGACTTTCCAATTCCATGCTGCCTCCCCTTCCCAGCCCCCAGCTGTAGTTGCATCAAGTAGCCTCAAAGTCCCACAGCCTCAAATCCCCCCTCCCCCACAATACCTGCCTCAACTTGCTGGGAGTTCCCTTTGGAGTACTGGCCACCCTCTGCCAGTACCTCCTAACTCAGATGCTGGCCTTTCTGTATGGATATCAAATCTTCAGTCCTTTCACATAATAAGCCCAAGAACTGGGTATGAGGAGAGCAGGAAAGCAAGGTCCCTGACAAGCACATCTGTGAAACAGAGATAGATACCTGTTAAAGATGGGGAGAAAGTGGGTGCAGGTCCCTTTCCCCACACTTGGGAAAATTCCCAGTCACTTCCTAAGTCTATCTGCAGGTACTCTATTAAATTCCTTTGTCTTCTAAAAAAACTAACCTAGATTTTCATCAGACAAAAAGAGGTCACACATACAGTCTAGAAAGGGAGGAAAGGGGCAAGAAGCCCATGGTCTGACAGACAGTCCTCCTGACTAAAAAGTCCCAGATCACGTTTGCCAGATCCACGTGTGTGCAGGGTCTGTCCCCAGCTGGTACTTGTTTCTAAGAACTCTAGTCTCACTACTTTCACCTCACTGCCACCACTTCAGGTCCCCAGTCTTTTTTAATCTCTACCTTCTTTACATGCTGCCCTCATAATTCAAGTTAGAGATGGGAGCTTTGCACACTTAGGACATAAAATAAGTTTCATTATACCTCAAAGAATAGCAATCTAAGGCCAGACGGTGAACTCACCTCCTAAAACAGTTCAGATAACTCAAAAGCCTCCATTCTAACAATCACCCACCCTTAGCAGGCTGCACAATTCTGTAAGCCTCAAACTGTAACACTGCCAACTTGTTCTTCTGGTTCTACTGCACTTCCCAACCTGACAAGTTACAAGGAAATCCAAGGGATGCTCTATTTCCCAGGACAACTGTTCATACTACTCAGAAAGACCTCACCTGTTTCCTAATCTTCCTAGTTTTCTACAATGAGCAAAAATTAACTCAATTATCAGGGAGAAAACCGTCTAGGAAAAGTAGCCCTGGCTGTTTCAATTGATGGCAGAGAAACACCCCAAGTCCAAGCAGGTATTTCTCCAGAAAAATACCTGAGTTGCCTTTTCTCTTAGAGGTTAGCACACTTGACAGTCCTTAACTGAATTCAGTGGTAAGGGCATTTTATTTCTGTCTGTTGGGAATTAATATATTCGAGACCCTGCATGTCATTCTTAATTTTCTCTCAAGAAAATGCAAATATTTCATTATGGCTTCGCTCCCTTCCCACTCACTTCCTTCAGGAGCATCCTTCAAGTTGTCTGCTATCTAAGGCCCAATGAGGTCCTGTCTGTGAAACTCATTGTACCACCTCAGTCCCACAGTAAATCCCAGACCCCTCAGCCCCAGAGCTGCCCATCTCATCTCTCTCAAGTGCCTGTCTCTATCTCTCTCTCTGCTTCAACCTGCCAATTCAGTTCCTCTCCCAGAAATGTTCTTCCTTTTTCTCTTTACCTACTTAGCTCCTGTTTGTCCTCTGATCCCACTTGAAGGAAGAACCCTTCGAGTTCTGCTAACCAGGTCATGGCATCCTCTCCTTGGCCCTTATAAGTTTCCCCACGTTCATGAGGTTAATTATGATTTCTCTCCCACTAAATCTCACCATAAATTCCACTGAGCAGGGATTCTTAGCACAGTGCTGGAGCACAGTACACACTCCAATATTTATTGAATAAATCAATCCAGAAATCACTACTTGCAATGTCAGAAATTCACAAAATGATGCAAAACAAATGAAAGGAGCTACTGAAGAATTGGGAATTGGAGCCTTTAAAATGTGTTTGATTACTCAAAAATAGTTTATTTTTAAAAATCATAAAATACACAGATAATGAGAAGTTAAAAAAACCAAAAAACTGCTAACCCTAATCAAGAGATTTTGTTGACATTTTGGTACAAATCCTCCAGAATTTTTTTCTACCAAGAGTAGCATTATTTCTTTCCTCACTATCAAAATATAAGATTGTAGAATCCGCCAAATGATACTGCATTAATAGAGATGACTTGACATTTTAAAAAAATGATGTCATCTGAGTGAAAATAACAATGCATCCAAATGGGTATTATAGAAGTCATCCATTCTCTACACCACAACCAAGATGAGACACAGTCCTCTGTAAATATCAGCACCAGAATCTTAGGGAAGGAATAAAGAATGAAAGATGAAGGGTGGAGGAGTAACCTATAGGAGAGTCTAGCAAATCACTTTCAAACTTCTAATTCTAAACTGCTTCATTTAGGAAAGGGCCAACTTTCCTGGGGAAATGAATGCTAAGAGATGACTCCGGTTTGGTGCCCCAAAAGGCAGCTTGTAACTGAGGACAAAGCATGGCTAAAATGGTGTCACCAAATCATCCCACACCTCCAAGAAGAGCTGGAGCCTGGACAAGAAAGTGACCTTCTGTTTTAGGAGCTCCCAAGAAATGCTCACACACTGGGTTTGCAAACAAAACATTCCTGGGATCTGGTGGCCCACACAGCAAGTTCAAGCCAGCTCTGCATTTCAGCCACTCAGGCGAGCCTCAGTTTCCTCACCAGAGAAGTGGAGACTATACTCTACCCTTACCCATCAGATTGTTACAGATACTGAAGATGTCTGTGCACTGAGCTTGGCATACAGTAGGTACTCAAATCTGGGGACTAGTGTGATTAGCCCTCCTCTACAGCTTGCTCTCAGGTTTAACAAGCTACTAGTCTTACCTTAAGGACCCTACTAATACTGATCAGGTGCTAGCAAACATTATTTCACATAATCTAACTTAAAACTTATAACCACATCAGAAGAAAAATAAGACTGAAGCAAATGCACAGAAGTCTGTCTGTCCATCGGGTTCTCTGTGCTGCCACAGCCAGAAGGTGTCACTGTAGGAAACAGACACACAGAACCAGAGACTCAACTCCGAGAAAACTTATAGTAAAGGGTAAGGAAGAGAGAAAATTAAAGGCTCAAGTGACTCACCCGGACTTTGATCTAAAGAATCCAAAGCTCTTAAGATAAGGATGAACTACACACCTAAAGACTTTGGATCAGATACACAAAATCGAGCAGTCCCTGCAAAATTTCCAGGGCAGAGCAGAAACCTGCATTCAAAGGTTGTCATTCAGTTACTAACGGAAGGGTCCCCATTCATTTCTAGGTGCCTGTGCACGCACACACCCAAGTGTCAGCCGCCCTCTAGGCTGGCGCCCTGCCCATGAGTCCTTCCTTGTTGAAGTGATCAATTCCGATTCTTGGCAATAATCCTTTTAAAAGGCCAGCTTACTGCTGTCTAGTCACTGATGCCGACCCATTCCAGGTGGGAAAAGACCTCAATACAGCCACCGCCTAAAAGGAGCGGGGGGAGCAAATATAAAGAGTAGGGCCCTGCGAAGGCTGGAGCGGAGAGAGGGAAGGATCCTGCAGCTCCCGGGGGTCAGGCAGGAAGGGCGCGAGCAGGGGGAGGGCCGGCCCTGCAGGCGTGGGCGCGCGGGGACTCTTATTCTGACACGGGATCTGCCGCCGCCGTCGCCGCCGCCACGGGGTCCAGCGCCACGGCCCGTCTCAGCCAGCCCTGGACCCCCGAGGCCCGACCGGACCCCCCACCCCTAGGGCCCACGTGCCTCCCTCCTGCCGCCCCCACCAACCACACAACTCCGGGCCACTCGAAAGAGGCGCCTCGCGGCCCGGCCTCTCCCCGACCCCAGAGGAAGCGCAGGAGGTAAAGGGGCGACACCGCGACTTGCCCAGACCCCCGCCCGGCCCCCACGTGCCCGAGCGGGTACTGAGCGCGGAACTTTCCAGGGCAGCGCCAGAAAGACGCTCCCGGAATTACAAGGAGTAGAACTCGCTCACCCTCACTTTTTCACGCTCACGAGGGGGGTCCCTCACGACCTCCAGACCCTGTCCAGTTCGCACCGCCCCCGCAGTTTCAGTCTCTACCAGGGGGCCCCGGCCCCCGCCCCCCGCCAAGTTTGGTCCGGAACTTACCGGGCCGCCGCGGGCCGGCCGGGCCCTAGGGCAGCGCACGGGCTCGCGGGGCCGTGGGACCGGGGTCGC